ATATAATTTTTTTACCCCCCAAAATCAGTCAGACCAAATTAGGCAGTTTGGAAGATAGAGGAAGTATTCCAAATCCTACAACGATCCTAACCACTTGTGTTTAAAAATGGATTCTGGATTTTGTAAAACAAATAACCTGACTATTTGAACCTCTTCTGTAAATAGGTATTTCCAAATATTATTTTTATATTAGGCTATGCCTTTAGTTAGTAAAAGGACTTACTCTGTGTATGAAGATTATTTATCTTTTCTCTCCTTTTTGACAAGAGTAAAACATAGGGCTCTATCATGTTTCTAAACCCAGAGAAAAGAAATAACAACCCCATCTCAGCCCAGGTCTGAGCTAAACTTTAGAACACCTGCCCCTCAGCCCACTGCACTTGGTGTGTGCACAGCATGCAGCAGGCGGGCGGGATAAATAAATGAAATAGAGATGCAGAAGTAGAATGGTCAGAATTTTGCAGTTGATTGGAGAGAGGGGATGAGGAAGATGAAAAGCCCAAAGGTGATCAGGTTTCAAGTATGACAAGAGACTTTAAGAGATTTGGTATTGGAATTGAAATTCCTGGATTCAAATTCCACAGTTAGCTGCCTGAACTTGGGCAATGTTCTTAACCCCCAAGCCTCAGTTTTCTCATCTATAAAATAGGGATAATTTAGCAAATACTTCATTAGGCTATTGCAGGGCTTACGAGAGGATCCACATAAAGCACTTAGCATAGCGCCTGAGTGTTTTCCACTTTCAATTATTAATGGTGACATTATTTTTTAAGACAGAGAACAGAAAAAGAGCAGAGGCAGGAGATGTTAAGGAAGATGATTTCCACTCAGACAAGCTGAGTTCGAAATACCCGAGGGAAATGTATTCAGTGATTTTTAGGAGACAGAAATGTGGGCCTAGGACAGAAAGGGGCTCACATGAGCTACTGCAGGAAAAGGATCCTGGCTGTGCCACTAAGTAGATTTGCATTCATTTTCTGACATTGTTTCCAAGATGATCTGAACCTGTGGAGAATGTCTTATCACCTGCAAAAACTTGGGGTTTCTCACTAGAGTGTATGTGGCTAACTAGAGAGTTTTTGTGCTTTTCCAACTACTGGTGTCAGAGCTGCTGCATATGTTTGTGCCAATTGTTCACTGCTCTAGGGTCTTGGCTGAGGGGGGCAGTGAGGTGAAATCCAGCTATCATCTGGGTACCAAGCCTTCTGCCTTTGGCTGCATCTGAATGAGCTGGTAGTGTTTCAGCCTTGGGAATGTTCACCTGTCCTCCTGGTTGGGGGGCGGGGGGCTTAGTGTTGAAAGTTAAGTCTTTGTTGAAGTTAAACTCCGTGTGGTCAGTATAATTTTCTTTTGTGGGGACTATATTTTGGGTATATTAAATTTTTTATCTCATTGCAGATCATCAATGCTGTGGTACTGTTGATTCTACTGAGCGCTCTGGCTGATCCAGATCAGTATCACTTTTCAAGTTCTGAACTAGGAGGTGACTTTGAGTTCATGGATGATGCCAGTAAGTACATCAGATTGCAACTCTAGGTATTTTCGTATTTTTAAAGGCAGGGAATCTGGCTGTCAGTTCTTTCTATTAGATTACAAATATTGATTCATGGGCTCATTTGAACTGATATTTAACTTTCCATTGTTACAAATCACATCAAGAAATATTTACGTGCTGCCTGTGTTCTGCCTGTGTTCTAAGTGCAGGAGTCTAAAGAATATATCTTTTACTTTTTTGTTTTTACATTTTATGTTAATGTGCCCATTTTTAAAATGATTGCTTTATTATGACTTTCACCCTGCCCTTTTGGTCTTTTTGGGAGGAGGGGAGTAAATAAATGGCAGGAAGAAGTTTAAAAGGGTAATGCGTATCTTATCATGTCTTCTGTTATGTTTCAGTATTTACCTTTCTTCCAGGAGGTGATCATTCTCCATTCTAGAAACCACGTTGGTGGTTATTTGGTGGATTTTAAAGAGGCCTTTTTCTGATTATTGGAAACATACACAGGCACCTGAATATGGACTAAACAGGAGAAGGCTGGGCACCCAGCTCGGAGGATCACAGGGACCCAAACATTTTATAATTACAGTCACCCTCTGTCCCCATTGACTGAAAGGGTCACTGCTGTGCATAATCCCAAACAAAAGGTTATGCACATTTATTTTCATTGGCTTTGGAGAACTTTAAATACATCTGAAAAAAAAAAATGCAACTGGGGAGAGAGTGGCTCAAGATGCAGTTTCAGAAATAAACTGGGAGTCTTTGTTGATCTTAAACAAATAGACAACCAGATAGTTCTCCAGCAAAATGGGTTTATTCCAGAACAACAAAGAATTGCAATTTGGGATATTGGGGTCTAATGTACACCACCTGGAATCCAGAGAAACAAAGATGAGGAATGCCCATGTATGGACTTGGGTGGGTCTCTTGTAAACAAAGAGTCCATTGGAGGAAATTAAGTTAGAAGTAAAGTGACTTTTCATTAGCTCAGTTATAGCTGTCTCCCATTGGCTGAGCTAGCACTAGGCAAAGAGCAATCTTTTCTTTCTCCTGCTGAGGTGGTTAAAATAGTATCACTTCCTATGGAAGATGCGAGGTAAGTCTCTTCCTGTTGGGGTCAGTAGTGTGCGTTGAGTGACAGGAGTGGGACAGTTCTCCCTCCTAAGCTCCCAACTCCATTTTTAAATGAGGTTTCTGTTTATTAATTTTCAAACTTCCAAAAGACATAGTGAGGCTTCTGGATTTTATTCTCAGCGTGAGAGAAAGCTATTCAGTGTTTTTAAATAATTCAACATTTATGAACTGGTGTCTTTTAAGAATATCGCTTTCATTGTTGAGTAGAGGACGTATTTAGGGGACTGGTTTCCGGGACGTTTCTCTGCGATGTGGATTATACTAGGATTGGGGATGAGACTAGGTTTTGGAGGTAGAATTGACAGAACTTGCTGGTGTGGGCAGTGAGGGAAAGGAAGGAATCGATGATTCCTACTTTCCAGCTTGAGTAAACTACGTGCCTCTTTATTGGGATGAGAGAATTTATGGTCAGGAGAAGGGAACAAATGTGGGAGAGAAAACTCGATTTCGATTTAGGTGACTTAGTATAGTTGTCAGGGGTATAGGATCTGAAGCCAGACCTTAGTTTGAATTCTGACCCTGCTATGTATTAAGTGTGTTAACATTGGGCTAGTTACTTTATGTGCCTTAGTTTCCCCCTCTGAAAGATAAGGATGATCGTTGTATCTATCTCATGGGATTGTTGTGATGATTAAATAAGTTAATACATGAAAAATGCTTAGAATGGAGTGTGGCCTGTAATAGGTGTTCAGTATTTTTTGCTCTTTTACTAGCTGTGCTTATTTAGATATGTTATAGATGAAATGTGAGCTATCTTAAAGTGGAGAGTTTTAAAAGGTAGTCGGATATGTGAACCTGTAGCCCAGAAGGCTGGGCTGCGGTAAATTTGATGACATCAACCTAAAACTGGCATTTATGTTAGAGAGACAGTAAAGGGAAAAGGGAAGGGGGCCCGTGATTGAGCCCCGAAGGAGCCCCAACATTGCAGTTCAGGAGGAGGAACCGAAGAACAACCGGAAGTGAAGTAAAGGGAAAACCAGGAGACACTTTATATCCATCGTCTTCCGCCACCATTGTTTCCTAATATGTACTAAGAAGTCAGGACATCATATTATCCTGGGGTTGGGGACTTTGTCAGATTGAGATGTGACTTCTGCTGTTACATTGCTCATTCTCTCCATTCTGAATAACCCTGTTACTCTAATGAATTCTTCTAGAAAAGATAATGAGTTCTATTAATATTAAATTAATCTCTCTCTGCTTTCTTCCCCTGAGTTAAAAGACTATCTAAGCTATAAGTATAATGTTTGATTGACATTTAAAGATAAATTATCTTACAGTATTTCTAGTAGCAGGATTCCTTTTCTAAGATAATTGAGATTAGAAAAAGAAGTTTTAAATAGTGCAGCTATGGTTCTATCTGAATCAAATAGTAACGCTGCATACCTTGTTCTAATTGCCAGAGATTAAGCTGGGTTAATATGACTATCTGGCAGTATAGATTAATTTAGCTGGCTTCAAAGGCTTACTGGTATTTAAGACTTTAAAATAGTAAATGTTTTGTAATGTTCTGGATATTAATTCCATTGCATTTGCGTTTTCTCATATTTCATACATTTGAAAAGAGCGAGTGAATGGTTGTAATTACTTTTAGGACTATCTATAGATCATTTAAATCACATGATTAAAAAGGTACAGAAGAATGGATATTCACTTGAGTGAATCGTTTTTTTAAACTTCTTTTCTCTTACATTTCCTTTTCACATGTTTTGATCTCCTTTTTAAAATATGTTTGCAGGTCAAAACTTATGTCCAACAAGCCTATCTAATAAATTCACATGTGGATAGATTTAATAGTCATTGAAATGGGTACAATCAATTGCTTTAAATTGAAAATTATGGAATATAGCAACTTGAAGTTA